ACCCGAAGCGCTTACGGCTATATCGCGTTGAAACTTCGGTTCTCGTATAATCACCGAAGTTAAGCAACGTCAAGTCTGGTCAGTACCTAGGATACTGGGAATACCAGATGCTATAAGTTTTTGTGTACAGTTGGAGTAATTGATAACGGCTGGGAACTGGTGATCGGAGAACCAAGTTCTAATTCCAGTCGGGTTCGTTGTATTCACTTACGAATGAATCGACCTCTACTCCCCCAGCTATGGGTTAATTAGTAGGACTTGTATCAGTAAATCATTATTATATCCAAAAAATTCTTACAATCTAAAAATATTTTATGACTTTAAATTACCTGTAAAAGGTTGATAAGCCATAAAAAATACAAATCAATCAATCAATCAGTATAGGCCTGAAGAAAGCTGCAGAATGGATTGGCCGAAACGTTTCCCTGAAAGCAGAGTAAATGATAAAATCGATTTTTCGAACAAATCATTGAACATTCAACTATTCTTGCTGAAATTCCACGAATATTGATAAGTAAGATCATATCACTTTTCGTTTTTCACCTTTTGCCTGTTTTAAAAGTTGTGATAATAGCAACAAAGATAAGGACAATAGTACACATGTAATGTAAATATTTAACGATTCTGTTGGTACTTTCTTCTTTGATTAATTGGGTTCATACCGTAAGCATATTGCTTTTCTGTAATCAACATATCAGACTACACCTAGATGCTCATACAATGACTGATGATTGTTTCTTGAATAAAAGACTGTGAATATCGATCTTTGTGTATTGAAGGACATCACCAGGGTTCAAAGGAAGGCCTAATATCGTTGGTTTACTGATGCAATGCGTCGTTTTCTCTATTTGTTTCTGTGTTCAGGTCGGCATTAGTGTCCCACCAATATAAAATTTGAAAGTTAATTAACGATTTGACAGAGTTGTAGAATAGACGCTGCAATTACAAATAATTAGTTGAAGGGATGGAAATAATTAGTTCAAAGGAAGGTCTCATACCGATGGTTTACTGAGGCAATGCGTCGTTTTCTCTATTTGTTTCTGTGTTCAGGTCGGCATTAGTGTCCCACCAATATAAAATTTGAAAGTTAATTAACGATTTGTCGGAGTTGTAGAATAGACGCTGCAATTAGAAATAATTACTTTCTCCCCACACTTTTTTTTTTTAAATATTACTGTAGATTCACCATTTTACTTCACGAATATCACGAATTTTTTAATTATTTTTTAATAAACGGTAATTACTACTATATAAATTCATTGTTAACTGACCTCCATACAGAAGCCAAAGCAGTTATGATATACAATTTGATTTCTTAAAAATATTTTTTTTTTCGAAATTCGTAACCTGGAGTTCTTAATCGATGGTAATATAAGAAAAAGGAACCCTAGATTACAAATTTCAATTTAAAAAATTGTTTCTTTTTACATTTTAAGAAATCAAGAGGTATAAGCATATTTTGTTTGAGCTTTCGTAGGAAGATCAATTTATATAGTAACCTGGACCTCCCTACTTTTTTTTTTTATAAAATTTAATTTTAAAAAAAAATCAAATATTCGCTATCTGAAGTGCTTAATCTATAGTAATATGGAAAAAGAAATGAAAAATAAAAATTTATGATTGCAGTGCATCTTGTACAATTCCACTAACAATTAACGATGTTAAACATAAGATTCCTCCTTGTTTGCATTCTCTCCAAGAACTCATCGTTTGCTCATACGCTCGGTCCATGATATCCTTAGCATCCTTCTGTAGCACCACATCTCTGCTGCTTCGAGTCTTTTCTTCATCTTTGAGGAAATCGTCCAACATTCGCTGCCGTATAAGAGGATAGATGTCACGTAGCAGCTCAGTACCCTTTACCTTGTCACCAAAGAAATCTTCCTGTCTTGGCTCTCTTCTTCTCCTTAAAAAGGACTCTAAAGTCCACATGCATGGCCTGGGAGTTTATGTCCGCGAACATCACCCGCTGGCTAGGGAACTCTCTTGAATCTCCAGATCATTTATGTATGTGTTTCCGTCTCTCTCTATATATAACTCAATCAGCCATCTCTTCTTTCTCTAACGTTCTCCTTTCTCTCTAGACTGTTGCATGATAGATAGTTTTTCTGATAATATTGACAAGGCCATCTCCCTACACCCGCTTGAAAACATATATTCATGTTCGGTGACTTTAATGTCAGATGGCTTAAACACTCTGTCATTGATCTCATTATCATCCAAACCCTTTACTTCTCAATCACTCAATTTCTCATGCAAATGGTTGATTTCTACACACATTTACGTAGTAACCCCGGTGGACACACTTCTTTTCTCGATCTCTTTTTGACCTATATCTACGCAGCTCTGCCCTCTTGGTAACTCTGATCATACGGCAGTGCCTTTAAACATCTCCTTCCGCTCCCGGAATATCAACAATATCCTTCTGTTATCAACGAGCAGGATGGTACTTTTTCCTGGATTTCCTTCGTGACGTCCCTGTTCAAAAATGCGCATTTATGATTTCCTCCTGGGTGAAAGCCGACATCGATGTTTCATTTCAGCAAGGAAATGCTAAGTTAATCCGTGTTCGTCTCCTTGGTTCTCATCTGCATGCTTGGCCACTATAGCCCACAGGAATCGCTTATTCCGTCTTGTCCCAGAGCGACGCGTCTGATTGCAACAGACATCTCTTTGTCTCTGTTCGTAACGAGTGCAAGTGTGTCCTCAATGAAGCGAAGTTATTTTTTGCTGATAGAATGAAACAACGTATAGCATCTCGCAAGTTCGGTTCTAGAGAATATTGGCGGTTCTGCAAGAGTGTGCTGAACAACAGCAGATCCTCAAGCCCTCCCCAATTCAATCAAATCGAAGTCCTGACATCTACAGAAGATTGGAATGCTTTGCTCGGAAATACTCGACTCCTTTGGAGTACCCACACCTGATTTTCCCCTAGAACTGAGGCTATACTGTATGATATGCGCATAACCTCGTCACTGGTCTCGGATATCATTTCTAAATTAGACTCCCATGAGGCAAGTGTAGGTGACTGGATACCAGCCGTCGTCCTAAAGAAATATGCTCCCGTGCTGGCCACAGTTCTCTCCAAACTCTACAACTATTGCCTCGCTGATTTCTGCTTTCCAGCCTGTTGGAAGTCCTCCTCTGTAGTCGCTGTTTTTAAGAATTCTGGAGAACTTTCTGATGCCTCTGACTATCGCCCTATTAATCTCATACCGCTTTTCGGTAAAGTATTCGAGACTTTAATCAATGCTGAAATGGTTAAGCATCTTAACTCTTACGACCTACTCTCTGGCAAACAATATGGATTCCGTTTTGCCCGGTCTGCCGTTGATGTGTTTACGGCCATCACTGAATATGTATATCAAGCTCTTGATAATAACGGCGAAACTCGTGCTGTGGCTCTATATATCTCGAAGGCGTTTGACAGGATTTGGCACGCTGGTTTTCTACGTAAGTTTCAGGGACACTGGATTACAGGGCGATTGTTTGATTTAATCCGATCGCTCCTAACAAATCGTGAAATGAAGGTCATCCTGAACGGGTTCGCTTCCACATCCTTTCACACGAACGCGGATGTCCTCCAAGGATTTATACTGGGTCTTACGCTGTTTCTGATCTTCATAAAGGACCATGATGTTATTTATACAGATGACACTACCATTTACTCCTGTCTCAATAGCAAATCCGTCAAAGCTGACAAAGTTAACCTGGCCGCTGCTCTTGAAAAGGACCTGCAATCAGTGGTTAACTGGGTTAGGAAATGGCTCGTAAATTTTAATGCCTCCAAATCTAAACTGGTCTCATTTAACCACCATAGCGAAACTTTCCTGTCCGCCATCAGCAAGGCTCCAGGAGAGTGTCTCACGGCGCCTTCTTGGCCTCGAGTTTTCAACTGACTTGAAGTGGAAGAACTACATTGAATCAATAGCTGTATCTACTGCAAGGAAAGTTGATTCATTGTGTCGTACCAGAAGGTTTTTCCCGTCAGAGCTCATCTTACTCATTTACAAATCTATAATTCTCCCGTGCATTGAATATTGCTGGCATATCTGGTCTGGTGCCCCTGCTGTTCATCTCGAGGTTCTCGACAAAATTCAAAGAAGGATCTGCAATGTAAACGGTCCTGACCTGGCATCCCGACTTCAATCACTTTGTCACAGGCGTGATGTGGCTTTCCTTTGACTTTTCTACAAATATTTTCATGGCAACTGCTCTGACGATTTTTTCTCTGGTGCCTCGACTTGATGAATTTAAGCTTACATCTAAGTCCCACGCTTTTACAGTTGAAATAGTTAAATGTAACCGCCACTTCTACTCCAACAGTTTCTTTTCTCGCACTTCCCACCTGTGGAACTACCTTCCTCTTACTTGCTTCGCTGATAACTACTATCTTCAAAAATTATAATGCAATGTCAAGCGCCATCTTCTGTTGACTTGAATCCCATTCATCTTTTATCCTTTCCTCAAGTCCCCTTATAGCCAGTCTTTTCTACCACTTTCACTCTCTGTAAACCCCCCCTCCCCCTGCGTACTAGTGGCACTTCTTCCTTGCTTGGGGTGAAATGATTGAAACAAATATTGGATTTTTAAAAGATTTTAAAAGAAGAGTAAAATCCATAATTCAGTAACTCTTAAATTAAGAATAGCTAAAAAAAGACCACATTGGGTTTAATTTAATATTTTATGATATCAAACATGTAAGAAAATAATTAAAAAAACAACAACAATGAATTGAACTCAAAACTGTCATTTAACTAAAAAAAGAAAGAAAGAAAGACTACATTTAATGTGGTGTAAAAATTAAAATTATTCATTCTACTTAGTTTCATACACGTGTATTGAATAAAAGAATAAAACTCTTTAAACAGTTGGTGATATAAATGTAAATATTTTTCGAATATAAATACCAATTTCTTGATTATTGTACAGGGGGCCGACACTATTTTTGGGACACTTTGAAATGTGTGCTTAGAGGTAAAGAGAGGACGGAACAAAACAATTTCCAAGAGAACAGAAAGAAGAATGAAGAGGAGTGTTACGAGGTTGTTATCATCTGGAGAAAAGGTGACAGCGAAGAAAGTAAAGGAGAAGTGTGAACTTGACGTCAGTGTTCGAACTATACAAAGAAAGATACACGAAACTGGACTTAAGTATGCTAAAATCAAGAAAAGAGTTACACTAACGAGAAAACACAAGGAGGCAAGGCTGGGAAGCGTCAAAAGATGGATAACAAACCATGTCGACTTCAAGAAAGTGATATTTACTGATGAAAAACGTTTTAAGTTCGATGGACCTGGCGGGTGGTGTACATGGTCGAGAAAAGGTGAACCTGTTATTCTCAACAACAGACAGATGGGTGGAGGAGGAGTCATGGTTTGGGGTATGGTATTTCCGAATGGAAACTTGTGGCTCGAGTGGTTAAAAGGACATCAAAATAGCTTGAGCTACAGAGAACTTTTGGAAAAGAGAGCCCTACCACTCATAGAAAAAGAAATGAGAAGTAATTTTATTTTGCAACACGATAACTGCAGCATCCATGTGGCCAAATGAGTGAAAAATTGGATGTGTGAAGCAAATATAACTACGCTGGAATGGCCTGAAGGAAATCCAGAATTAAATTTAATTGAAAACATATGGGAAATGCTTGCAGAGCTTGTATACGACAGGCCTGAAATAACCAGAGAGGCTGAACTGTGGCAGCGCATACAAGATGCTAAAAATAGACTGCTAGAAACACGAAGAGACGTTATTATCAATATGTACGAACATTATGAAGATAGACTGATAGAAGTCATTGAAAAAAAAAAGGGTGCTGCTATAAACTATTAGCATTGTCCGAAAAATACTGTCGCCTGTGTAATGTAAAAATTTGTAAAAAAATAAAAATACTTCTAATTTGAATTCTGCTTTTCCATTTGTAGTATTGAAACTGTTTTTAAATGTTATTGCCATTACACTAAGACAGTACAGACTGCCTGTGCTAGCTAAAACTTGAAAAAATAAAGTGTCTGAAAAATAGTGTCGACCCTCCCTTCCCCCACCCCCGTACTGCTGGTGACTAGTATTTCTTTAATTTTAATTTTGATTTTTTCTCGCGCATTTTAAGAGAGGGATTAGAGTTTAAAATTATAATTTTTTCCTATGCCTTCACAGGCTACCGTGTTTAAATAAACGCTATTTTCATTATGTTTTAGGCAAAAAGTAAGCATTCAAAATACAGTTAATTAATCCTTAAATTTACTAATTTACTTTGAGACACATCTCCAGGAGAAATGTTGAAATTTAAAATTTGTTATTTTCATTTTTTGTTTGTAATGGCGGTTCGATGAACAACAAGTAAACGTGCCAATGTTTTAAAAATGGACCAACAAAACCTTTATTTATATAAGGAAATTTATTTTTCTTTTCATATGGATTAACTTTAGGGCATTATCTTTAAAATAAAACCAGAATGTCACTTCAAAGAAGATATTTAAATTATTTAAAATGCGTTTTTCAGAGTTCTTTTTAGGAAGTCTGTGGCGGTGATAAAACAATACACAGATTACAGAGAGTAAGGAATAGGAAGGTCATTATTGCTCCCTGAATGCAAGTGACACTTGAAGAAGGATGCTTATTAAGAATTATAAATGGTAAATATCTGTTAAATACTTTATTCATGACACGCACAGACTTTTCAGATAAAACATATTTCAAGTGACAGTTCTATCCAATGAAATATTTACAATTTCGTTATTTGATTTGACATTTTTTAAAAATTTTTTAAGAAAGAAATATGTAGAACATTTGTTTTTCATAAAAAAATGTCGGCACATCCACACGGATAGCAAATGTATAAATACATACCGACGAAATGGGAGGAAGAGATGGGGGAAGTTGGGGGAAGAGATGGAGGCAGTTGGAGGAAGAGATGGAGGAAGTTGGAGGAAGAGATTCGACAAAAAAGAAAAAGAAATAAGATGCCACTTTGGCGTGTGATCTCCATGCCGAATGTGATCGACAACAACACAGATCTACTAAAATGATATATATATATATATTGAGGAATCGGAGTTCGGAGTCCAGTCGAATCCATTACATTCACTTACGTGCTAATACCGTTGGGAAAGATATTAATCCTCTTCTTCTCCCTCCAGCTATGGGTAAATAGCAGGACAGACTGGGTTCTATAGCCTTGGATGGCAACTTCTCTAGAAGAAGGACAACTCTGAATTCAAAACTTGCGGAGGGTCGTTTGGGGACCTTGTGGCATGTAGTGCACCAGATTCCTAGGAACTGAGCTGCTTGACGCTCATATGTTGAATACGACGGGAGAGTCCAATATATATATATATATATATATATATATTAAAAAGAAGAGAAGAGAGGTGTCGCAAACGTTTTTGGTTGTAATATGGATTTAAAAAAAAAAAATATATGCTTTATTTACCATAATATTACTACACGTGTTTCTGGTCTCGCGACCGTCTTCAGGTAAAAGCGGAGATTTCCACATATTATTAAAAATAATTAATTTTTTCCTTATGTTTTTCAATGTTAAATATTCTCAATATGAGGCATTCTCTGTTTTTGTGTTAGTAATCCAAAATGTCTTTCTTGAATTGGAATTCAAGAAAGACATTCGGATTACTCATATCGAGAATATTTAACATTGAAAAACATAAGGGAAAAAATTAATTGTTTTTAATAATATGTGGAAATCTCCGCCTTTTACCCGAAGACGGTCGCTAGACCAGAAAGGCGTGTAGTAAAATTATGGAAAATAAAACATATTTTTTTAAAAATCCACATTACAACCAAAAACATTTGCGGCACCTCTCTTCTCTTCTTTAAAATACATACTTTTCTCTCGTTGGAACCACTACAACCTCTTTCTTTTATATATATATATATATATATATATATATATATATATATATATATATATATATATATATATATACTAATAATATCCCTGACTGCACACAGTTTAAATATCATTACATGCAACAAATAAATTTTGGGCATTTGATCGCATAATTTTCCAACAAATAAAATCTCGATGAGATATTTTTAAGAAGACGGATTTATCGCAAATCCGACATAAAATTTTGATGCCACAAAGTCATAAAAGATTTCAAATCATATGTATCTTTATTTTTTTTTTTTTTATGTCGTTTGCGTTATTACTTTTAAAATGTAAATCACACACTTCAGTAGAATTGCGCATCATATTCTTAAATATAAATCACACGCAGTAAAAGAATCCTGCATGTAGATCACACGATGAAGTTGCACCGGGAATAAATTCAGACGCAAAAGGGGTCGGAGGTGTTTGTATCCCTATAAACTTTCCGGAGTGGGTTATAAGATCAGAACTAAGAAAAATGTCCTACGGTATGCATTTGTATCACTTATTTCTACCATGTTGATTTGGTAGCTGGAATAAACTTACAAACTTTGGGTGGATTAAATAAAATAAAATAAAATATTAATAATAATAATAATCTTTCGAATACAGCTCACGTCTTACGAAGGGCTTTATCCATGTAAAATATGTGTGTGTGTGTGTGTGTGTGTGTGTGTGTGCGCGCGTGTTTTTTAAATTGCTCAGTGGAAAATGTCATGATGCCATTTTTGACCTTAGGTCTCTGGTCGGGACCCGGAAAGAAATGAGTAGATACCAGAAATCAAAGGGAAATAATAATAATAATATAATAATGATAATAATAATAATAATAATAATAATAATAATAATAATAATAAAGTAACTTAATGAGTAATTTGATACGATTTGATTTGACCCGAAAAATATTTTTTTAACTCTCGAGGGAAAAAAAAAATTGCAGGTTTAATATGGCCGTTTTCCTGAAGAACAAACAACAAAAAGGAAAATACGAAGAGAGGATTTAATAGGTTTTTCTAGTTTCCCATCTTCACAGAAAAAGAGGCACGTGAAAGATATCTGGGATTTACTCACTCACTCACTCACTCACTCACTCACTCACTCACTCTCTCTTTGTTTCTTTCTTTCTCTCTCTCTCTCTCTATTCAAAAATTATAACATAAATATGTTATAAAATCACAAATGTCTCTAAGTTGTAACGATGTTTCACAACCCGTTAGATTAACGTTTAATCTGAGATTTTGACTTTTCAAATAAAATATATGTATTTTTCCTCAGTTTCTTCTTTAAATAATATTATAATATTTTTAACTTAATACAGATTAAATTTAAAATTTAAAATTGATAATTGTTAATTTTCAATTTTAAAGTAAAATTTAATATTAATTAGAATGATTTCTATTTTAGTCTAACTTTAACATTAAGTCATTAATTATTATAGCCAAGGTTCGTTGTCAAGTTTTTGGATTTCTCATATACTTGTCTTTTGATTGGTCATTGTAGCTTATGTAATAGCGTTTCCCCTATCGAGGGGTGTTTGGTCGATTGGAACCTTTTAAAAACTCTTTATTCTATATTCAACATCATCACTTGATAAGACACCAGAAGTGTTGAAACAAAATGGCTATTTTCGTAAAGTGATTTTATAACATATTTATGTTATAATTTTCGAATAAATTACATTTACTTTGCTCCGTATTCAGCACTCTTTTAAGAATAGTATTTTTGATTAGTGGAATTTATTCCGTATACACCAATCCTATATTGATATATATATATATATATATATATATATATATATATATATATATATATATATATATATATATATATATATATATATATTGATAGTATGATTTAAAGCTATTAGAAGAAAAGTAATTTGTGTGAAGATAGCTTACGTTTGCCTGCAGCTCATCTTGTCTCTTTCACTTTCCTAGTTCAAACAGACATGTGTGCATTCACATCAACAGGGTGCGATGGATAAATTGTCGTCTAAATGACGCAAAAAAATGAAAATAACACTAACGTCACATTTTAATAGATATATTCACCAAAAATTACACAAAAAATATCCTGAAATATAAATATATATATATATATATATATATATATATATATATATATATATATATATATATATATATATATATATATATATATATATATATATATATATATATATATATATATATATATATTACTATAACACTGAAATAAATGTCCACCAGCCCAGCAAGGAGCGACCATGCACTCCCTTTATCCTGGGAGACCATCTTTTAGTTGTACGAAAGTTATACTTTCTTTAATAAGACTTTCACTGTCTAGGCTGATGGACATTATTTTGATCTTTGATATAAAATTGTGATGTCCACTTAAACACGTTTATCCACTAAAATAACATTGAAATTAATAAAAATAGTCTCAGATTAAAATCCATTAATCACTTAAATTACTGTATTTACATTTCATATATATATATATATATATATATTTGGTGTGTGTGTGTCTGTGCGTTTGTGTAGATGCGGATGTGGATGGTGTAATATTTAGTAGCTCGAAACACGAAATCAGCAAGCCGAGTTCGAATTTCAGTCGAGTTGGTTTATTGTTAAAAATATGAATCCATCTATTCGCAATTGATTAAATAGTAAGGCTTTTTAGCCTAGCTTGGCAGCCAGTCTAAGAGAAGAATAATTCTGAATTAAAAACCTTCGCCTGAATCTAATATTGGTCATGTTGAGCATTCTTGCATTTTTGATGTTCAGAGAGTGGTGTTCATGTAATCTCACAGAGTTTTTGCTTTTTGTTTTTCTAAACGAAACTTAAGTCAATTTAAACTTAAGTCAATTTAATAGAAATCAGTCATGCTCGAAATTGAGTAGACAGCCATCATCATGATCATCATCATTATATATAAATATATATATATATATATATATATATATATGTGTGTGTGTGTGTGTGTGTGTGTGTGAAAAGTGTATATAAATATAAATAAATATATATATATATATATATATAATTATTTATATATTATATAAGCGGTACTTATTAGAAAGCGCTCAATATCAGAGATAGAGCTAACATATTTGGTTAGATTGATGTGAGTTTGTGACCCTGGGTTTAACGCTTTTGCGATTGACGATCGCAAAAGCGAGAAATCAGGGTCACAAACTCACATCAATCAAACCATATATATATATATATATATGTGTGTGTGTGTGTGTGTGTGTGTGTGAAAATATATAGAAAATATGAAGGAACTGGTTAGGTAAATAATCCAAAGTCCTTTAGTATTTTAGTTATTATTTTTAAAAAATAGTGCAAAAAAAAAAAATTTCGCTTGAAGATGGAACAGAGCTTATTTTAACTCAATTTAATTTAAATAATTATATTGAAGTTTTCGGCTCTTGTTTTGAAACATGGGACTTCTTATGTCGCGATTTGGAATCATATTTTTAAATAAATAATTATATATATAAAGAGAGAGAGAAAAGGTATGTAAATGCCACTGCTCTGTGTAGAACTTAGTGTTCACTTTATATATATATATATATATATATATATATATATATATATATATATATATATATATATTCATATATATTCAGGTAAGATGAGAATGCATGCAATGTTCTTTATTTTAGGATATTACATCGAAAAACATGTCAAAATAGCTACAGAATTGCAGTCGTGTTTCGATGCGTATCAACGCATCTCCTAAGGCGATTGTAAATTACCCTATATGAGAGGTGATGTTTTTTGAACTCATAAATCCATATGAATTAGCTGTATCCGAAACATCTCAATCAAGAAGTGGGCTTTCCCATCTCATTAATTTACAATCCCCTGATGAGATGAGTTTGATACGCATCGAAACACGACTACAATTGTTTTGCGATTTTGACATGTTTTTCGATCTAATATCCTAAAATAAAGTATCTATCTATCTATCTATCTATCTATCTATCTATCTATCTATCTATCTATCTATCTATCTCTCTCTCTCTCTCTCTCTCTCTCTCTCTATATATATATATATATATATATATATTATAAATTAATTGATTTAGAATATGTTTTTTTCGCTACACAGT